AATATTATTTAATATTAAATAATATTACGCGCTTATAGGAGTCTCCAAAAAATTGCATATTTTGACACACTTTACGGGGTGGAATACATTTTTTTGTAAATATCATGATAACCATCGTAAAATATGGACTTTTTCTTACAAATTAAAAAAAAATTAGATCTACGATTTTTTTCGTGGAGTTACGGCGTATCAAAGTTACCTATGCCTTTTTGTTGAGTTATCGCCAGCGTTAGCTTTACCGGATGAGCAGCACGGGGTGGTTGCTGGTCGGATATTTTGCCCGTCGTGTGTGTGTGTTGGGGGAGGGAAATTTCGGATGATCTTTACAGACGCTCACGCATTGATGCAGATTCTAATTGTCTGCAAGAGATCATCCGAATACAAGGCAGAAATACGCAGTTTTATGTGTGACCATATACCCACATGCCTCCCCCCAACACACACACACACACACACACACGATGGATAAAATCCGACCAGCAACCCGCCGTGGTAGTCATCTGGTAAAGCTAATGCTGCCCAATCAGCAAACAAATGTTTTTAAAAATATTTTCAAAAACATTAAAGAAAAATTTTTTTAATTTTTAAAAACATTTTAAAAAACATTAAAAAAAAATATATATATATATATATGTATATATATATATATATATATATATATATATATATATAATAGGTTGTTTATTTTTTTTTTAATAAAAAACGTTTATTTTAACGTTAAAAAAAACGTTTCTTTTTCGACAAAGAAACATTTAAGAAACAGTTAAAAAAACGTTCTTTTTCTTGATCTATGGAAAAGAGAAAAATGCTTTTTCAACTGTTTCTTTATACGAGGAAAAAAGGCCGGTACTCGGGAAATATAAGTTTTATAAAAAAATGTTTCAGACAAAAGTTATATTAGGGTTCTTCAGTTGGCCTTGGGTGGCGTCGCCAAAGTCAGGACAAGGTCACCTTGAATTTTTTTAATGGAACTTTCTAGCTATTTTTTATTGCATATTCTTATAGCCCTTCTTCAGACCTTTTTCAAAACACTATAATTTCGCACTTTAACACTAGCTTAAAAAACACTTTAAGCAAGCCGTTATCGAGTTTTTTATGGTAAGATATCTAGCCAACGAAGACAAGATCGGCAAGATCAGAAGATCCAGCCAATAAAGGCAAGATCGGCAAGATTAGAGGATGAT